ATCACCAGGCTAGGGGAGAGGGCGTGGGGGAAGTGGAGAGACAGGCGGTGGTGGACGGCGATGGTCATCGGTGTGGTGACCGAGCATCAAGACCATCAATGTTAACACTATTGTAAGCATGTTTCTCTCACTACGATCTTAAAAACTAAGCAAGGGGCCAGAGATGTAGGACAGCAGGCAGGCATTTGCCTTGCATGCATGATAACCGGCACCACATACAGCCGCCCGAGCCACCAGGAGTGATTCCTGAGCACAGAGCCGGGAGTGATCCCTGAGCACAGAGCTGGGAGAGATCCCTGAGCACAGAGCCAGGAGTGATTCCTGAGCACAGAGCTGAGAGTCAGCCCTGAACACAGAGTCGGGAGTCAGCCCTGAGCACAGAGCCGGGAGGGAGCCCTGAGCACAGAGCCGGGAGTCAGCCCTGAGCACAGAGCCAGGAGTCAGCCCCCTGAGCACAGAGCCGGGAGTCAGCCCTGAGCACAGAGCCAGGAGTGATCCCTGAGCACAGAGCCGGGAGTCAGCCCTGAGCACAGAGCCAGGAGTGATCCCTGAGCACAGAGCTGAGAGTCAGCCCTGAGCACAGAGCCGGGAGTGATCCCCGAGCACAGAGCCGGGAGTCAGCCCTGAGCACAGAGCCGGGAGTGATCCCTGAGCACAGAGCCGGGAGTCAGCCCTGAGCACAGAGCCAGGAGTCAGCCCCCTGAGCACAGAGCCGGGAGTCAGCCCTGAGCACAGAGCCAGGAGTGATCCCTGAGCACAGAGCCGGGAGTCAGCCCTGAGCACAGAGCCGGGAGTGAGCTCTAAGCACTGCCAGGTGTGGGTCCCGAACACAAAAATCAACCAACGAAAATCTGAACTTCGATCCTCTGAAGGAAGCTCACTGCGTTTCTAGGTGCTGCCCTGGAGATGGGCCAGGAGGCGCCTCTGACAGCCGTGGCTCTGCACACACAGAGGCTGGCGGGCAGGGGGCTGCATGCGGGATGCTACGGGGGCTGCAGCAGGGCCCTGGGCCGGGGGAGGCAAGGGGGCCCATAGCATCACTGTGTGTGTCCCTGTGTGTGTCCTGGCGGGTCCCGGTCCTGCCCGCGCGGCTGTGCTCAGCCTTCCTGCCCCGTCATCCCGCAGACCTGCCTGCTGCTTTTGCTGTTTTTCGTGAGGGAGCGGGTGCTGACAGGAAGGACGCTGCTGCCCTCCCGCCCTCCCTGAGGGCTGCGCCTTCCCCGGGGTGGACAGACCAGCCAGACCAGGGCGGGGGCTCAGGCGTCCAGGTCGGTCTGAAGCTTGCGCCCAACTTCACAGCACTGTGGGTGCCCAGCACCTGTCCAGTGTGAAGCGCTGAGTTCTGAGAACTGTGGGGACGGGGAGAAAGGACGGGCCGGGAGTCAGAGCCGGGAGTCAGCCCTGAGCACAGAGCCGGGAGTCAGCCCTGAGCACAGATCCATCCATCCCTCAGGGGTGAACCTGGGACTAGGGCCCCGCGCCGGGGGACGGACGGCGTGGACAGTGGGTGGGCACCCGTGGGCCCCAGCGCCTCCCTGAGACTCCGTGTGCAGCGGGCCAAGGGGAAGCGGACGCGGACCCCAGACCCCGGGGGAGCAGCTCGGGCCCAGGGAAGGGGCGGGAGCTGAGAGCGTGACCCCATGGGACCCCTATGAGTGGCGACGCAACCAGGGCAGAAGTCACCTGCGTCCAGCCCGGCACCCACGCTCCAAGCACACTGCCCGTGGCCACCCCAGAGCAGGGAAGGGGCCAAGGTCCAAGTTGAAAGGGGCCACGGGAGCCACGTGGGGCCACTTCCTGCCGGGGCCTGTGGCCAGCCGCTGCCTGCCCCGCTCCTCTCACGGGCCCTTGCTGCTCGGTCCGGGCTGACCTCCGCCCGAGATCTGGCTAGAGGGGTCAGAGACGAGTGGTGGCCGGCAGCTCCCCGGACGGGAGCAGGGCTGGGGCGGTGCAGGGAGAGCCGGGCCTGCCGGGCCGTGGGGGCTGGAACCACCATATTCCACGGCACAGTGAGCAGAACAGAGTCAGGGCCTGCAGGACTGCGACTGAGTGACTGTTTCTGGGTCCCCAGGGCCCTGTCCCTGCGGCGTTCCCCCACGCCTGGACGCTTGGCTCTCTGCTGCTCCCACTGGCTCCTGCCAGAGCCCAGGAGTTACTGCCCGGGGCAGTGTGGCCAGGCTGCCGCCGCCCTGACCGCAAGGGCCCGAGGACCGTTTCTCCTGGTCACTCTTCCCGTCTACAGGGGCTGCAGCGCCACCCTGAGAGGCTCAAACTCCACTCGCCCCTAGCCACCAGCCGTCCACTGTCCACACACACCCCCATCGTTGAATCCGTCATCCATCTTTCCCCCACCCACCGCCCAGTGAATCCATCCAGCACTGACCATCCGTCCATCCGTCATCCCTCCATTCACTAGCCGCCACCCCCCATCACCAGCCTCTCACCCACTCGTGTCCACCCACTCAGCCGCGTACCCTCCCTGCCTCCGTCTCCCCCAGAAGCAGCCTACGGGGGAGCTGGTCCCCAGCTGGGCTCCCCTCCCGGTGCTCACTGCAGGAGGCCAGCAACGGCCACGGCCACGGTGGTGAGGACATTGGTCAGGGGAAGGGGGTGACGGCCAGGAGTCGAGGTGGACTGAGACCCGGGGTGTGGCTTCCTCAGCGGCAGTGCCCAGCCTGCTGACCGCCCGACCCTGGTGCTGCCCAGCAGTGGGCCTGCAGACCTGGCGGAGCCACACCTCCTGCCCCCCAAGGCCCCTCCTGCCGTCTCCCGGGACGCTGGTGCCCGCCTGGCCTGAGCCTCACTTCCAGGGACTGTTCCCCTGGCTGGCGGATGTTGGGGTCCCCCTTGGGAACCTGCAGGGATTGGTCTCTACCTCTGAGGCCAGCGCAGAGGCACGGAGTAGGGAGAAGAGCAGACACTGAGAAAGACAGAGACGGGAGATGAGAGAGGGAGCCGGAGAGAGGGAGAGGGAGAGAGGGAGAGAGGGAGGGAGAGATGAAGGGAGAGAGAGAGAGGGAGAGAAGGGAGATGGAGAGAGGGAGACGGAGAGAGGGAGAGGGAGAGAGGGAGGGAGGGAGAGCAAGAGAGGGAGAGAAATGAAGAGAGGAAGAGAGAGAGGGAGGGAGAGAGGGAGGGAGGGAGGGAGGGAGAGAGGGACGGTGAGATCAAGGAGAGAGAGGGAGAGAGGGAGGGAGACAGAGACAGAAAAGGAAGAAGGAGTGAGAGAGACAGACGAGGGAGACAGAAGGGGCACAGACAGAAGAGGGGCGGGGGCAGGGGCCGAGACAGAGGCAGCAGAGGGTCAGCGTGTGGTCTGGGTGGGCACGGTGTTGGGTGCTGCCCCTCAGTCTCCATCCCCTTTCTCAGCCGGCACAGCCCGGTCCCCAGCGACTAGCCTGGGTCTGGGGGCTGTGGGAGCCTCTCCCCACCCCCACTCCCCGCTGCTCCCCACCGCCCACTTCCTGGTGACTCAGGGTTTGTGGACAGAGTGATGGACCATCCTCGGGGCCGTGTCCGTGACGTCCGTGCACCCCTCCCGTGTCATGTCGTAAAGTCGTGTCATCCTCAGGCACTGTCTTGTCAGGGCAGGGCTGGGTGTCCCTGCCCACGGCACACACGCCCCACCCCGAGCCGAGCCCCTCCCCAGACCAGGGACCCCGTACCACAGACCAGGGACCCCCACATCTCACACCAGCGCCCTGCATCTCAGACCAGAGACCCCCTACCACAGACCAGAGACCTCATACCACAGACCAGGGCTGCCACATCTCAGATCAGAGACCCCCTACCACAGACCTGGACCCCCGCACCGCAAACTAGGACCCATACCACAGACCAGGGACTCCATATCACAGACCGGGGTTGCCATATCTCAGATCAGAGACTCCCTACCACAGACCAGGGCCCCTGTACCACAGACTGGGGACCCACACCTCGGGCTGGTCCCCCTGGCCTGCAAGGTCTCTGTCCTGCCTGTCCCCATGTCCCTGGACTGGGCAGCTGCCATGGAAATTCCCCGCTGGCCAGGCCCCACGGGGAGCGGCCCCACGACTCCCGGACCTGCCTGCGGTCTCTGGTTCCTAATCCTGCCCCTCCCCCTCCCTGGGCACTGGTGCCCCTGTGGGGTGCTGGCCCCAGGCCCCTCCGTGGCCCTGCCACCCTGTCCTGGGCCTGCAGAGGCCGGGAGTGGGCGTTGGCCTGACATGGCAGGGCAGCAGGGAAGCCCGCCAGGCTGCTGGGGCTGGCCAGGGGGCACCCCCCGTGGTCCCTGTCAGCTTCTCAGTGGTTGGGGATGACTGACCAGCATCCACCCCCCTGCTTGGGGCTCAGGGGCACAGGACGGACCTCAAGTCTGATGTGGCTAAGATCGGAGGTCAGCAGCCCTCCCAATTCCCAGCCTCAGTTTACCCACCTGGAGTGGGTGAGGGTGGCAGATCAGCTGCCCCCAGGGCTGGGGAAGTCGGGGCCTGGGGTGTCTGGGGGGTCATAGGGACCCCTTGGCAGCCCCGGAAGGCCGCTCTGGCCTGCGGCCAGCACGACTCCCCAGTTCCGATTCCATGAGGTTCCAGAAATGTGTAGCCCAGAGTGGGGAAGGTGGGGGCTCCCCTGGGCTCGCGGTTAGGACGCCCCGGGGCTCCGTGGGGGGGCCTGGCACATCCACGCAGGGCAGGCAGTGGGGCGTCCCTCAGCAGTGCCCGCAGGGCGGGGGCCCTCCAGGGCTTCCGGCAGGGCAGCGGCCCAGAGGGTCAGGCTGGCCGGGTGTGTGTCAGAATTAGGGTCATTGGGCCACCGCATCCCACGGGTTACCTGCCCAGGAGCCATAAAGAGATAAACGTAGATAAGCTGAATCAATATTTCCCCAGGAGCCCCCACAGCTGTCCTCTGGGAGGCTGGCAGGCGCCCCACCCCCGGCCCTCCCCGCCCAGCCCGCCCTCTGCCAGGCATATAAGGCCGGGACCCCGGCCCTCTCTCCGTCTCGCCTGCTCTGCCGAGCCACCATGGGGCTGCCTGCAGCCCGCCTGGTGGCCCTCTGCCTGGCCCTGGCCTCGGCCGGGGCCGACGAGCTCCGAAGAGGTGAGGGGTCAGTGCGGCCGGCTGGGGCCCGCGGTGTCCAGCCGGAGGAGACGGCGGCTGGGGACGGGCGCTCCTCTGCCTCTCTGGGAGGGCAGAGGGGGTTTGGAGGGGACTGTGGTCCTACGGCCGCAGCAGGGACACTGGTCGGGGTCCGGTCATGGGGGCCTGCCCCAGCCCGGAGACTGCAATGCAGGGAGACCCACCCCTCAGCGTTGAGTCGCAGGGCCACGCTGGACACGGCTGGGCCGGAGGCCTGGTGGGCCAAGGGTGGGCAGGGACTGGGCGGCGGGGGCTCACCCTCCACTGCCCCCCAGAAGGCAGGACCCGGAACCACGGCCACAACGTCTGCAGCACCTGGGGCGACTTCCACTACAAGACCTTCGATGGCGACGTCTTCCGCTTTCCTGGCCTCTGCGACTACAACTTTGCGTCTGACTGCCGGGGGGCCTACAAGGAGTTTGCGGTGCACGTGAAGCGCCAGCCGGGCCAGGGCGGCCACCCGCAGCTCGAGTACATCCTGCTCACCGTCAGGGACGACACCGTCTACCTCACCCGCCAGCTGGCCGTGGTGAACGGTGCCATGTGAGTGAGGCACCCAGGGGCACCCAGCCCTGCGCCCGGCCCAGAGAGGGAGCCCTGCGGCAGGACGGCTGGGTGCTGCTTTTTTCCCTGGGGCCCCTGGAGCTGGCTCCCGGGCTTGGGTTACGGCCGGCCGTGCCCGGGGGGCCTCGGCGGCCCCCCCAGCCATTGTCCCCCATTGTCTGGGGAACAATGAGGCCCTCTAAGCCCTTTCCTGCCTGGCTGGTTCCCCACCTGCAGGCTTGGCCTTTCTCTGATCCTGGGATTTGGTTTCCTGCAGGAAGGAGCCCAGCACCCCTCTGCGGGTGGGGGCCGGGGGAGGGGAGAAGGGCAGGGTGGGCAGGACGGCTGGGGCCGAGACACCGACACCCCCGCACGCTTGCCGGTCCACCCCAGGGTCAGCACGCCGCATTACAGCCCGGGACTCCTCATTGAGAGGAACGACGCCTACACCAAGGTGTACTCGCGCGCCGGCCTGTCCCTCATGTGGAACCGCAAGGACTCGCTCATGGTGAGTGCACGGGGGCCCTGCCCGCTCGTGCTGGGTGCACCGGGGCCCTTGCTCCGGGGCCCCTCCGCCAACTGGGCTCGAGGGACACCCACCCACTCCCTGCCCTTTCCCCCCACAGCTGGAACTGGACAGCAAGTTCCGGAACCATACGTGTGGCCTCTGCGGGGACTTCAATGGCTATCAGACCTATTCCGAGTTCCTGTCCGATGGTGAGGGGGCTCCCAGGGCAGCGGTGGGGGGCTGCTAGGCGGTGCTGGGGCCGCTGACAGGGTGCCTCTGCCCCAGGGGTGTCCTTCAGTGCCCTGGAGTTCGGGAACATGCAGAAGATCAACAAGCCCGAGGCCATGTGTGAGGACCCTGAGGAGGTCCAGGCCCCCAAGTCCTGCTCAGAGCACGTGAGTGGGGACCCCCCACGGGGGCAGAGCCGGGCAGCCCATTTCCCGGGCACCCCCACGCCACCGAGCCTCTCCTGTCTCCCCAGCGAGAGGAGTGCGAGCGGCTGCTGAGCCTGCCGGCCTTCGAGGACTGCCAGAGCCGCGTGGCCCGGGAGCTGTACGTGGAGGCCTGCATGCAGGACCGCTGCCAGTGCCCCGAGGGCGACGCCTGCGTCTGCAGCACCCTGGCCGAGTTCTCCCGCCAGTGCTCTCACGCCGGCGGGCGCCCCGACAACTGGAGGACCCCCACGCTCTGCCGTAAGTGGGGCCCCGGCAGGGCAGGCTGGGCGGGCTGGCCCCACCCCCTGGGCCCACCCCCCTCACTTGCGCCTTTGTCTTGCAGCCAAGAGCTGCCCACAGAACATGGTTTATCTGGAGAGCGGCTCACCCTGCATGGACACCTGCTCCCACCTGGAGGTCAGCAGCCTGTGTGAGGAGCACAGCATGGACGGCTGCTTCTGCCCTGAAGGTGCGTGGCAGGGGCACAGGAGACAGGCAGCCCCCCCTGCACCGGGGGACCGCGGCCAGGGGAGGGAGGCAGTGGGAGGAGGTCCCCACACGGCGGGGCGCCGGGGAGCACCTCGGGCCACCCTCCGGGTCCTCCGTGGAAGCACCTCCTTGTGCTCCAAGCGTGGGGTCACAGAGATGCCTGCCTCCCCTGACTCCCCCACCTCGGGGGCTCCTGAGAGTAATGGCTCATGCTGACTGTGCAGGCACCGTGTTTGACGACATTGCCGGCAGTGGCTGCATCCCAGTCAGCCAGTGTCACTGCAAACTGCACGGCCACCTCTACGCCCCGGGCCAGCAGGTCACCAACGACTGCGAGCAGTGGTACGTGCCAGGCGGGGGTTCACAAAGGCGGGACAGCGCAGCGGGGGCGGAGTCTGGGTGGGGGCGGAGTCTGGGAGGGGGCGGGGCCCAGCACCTACATAGGCCAGACAGCGCAGCGGGGGCGGAGTCTGGGCGGGGGGCGGAGTCTGGGAGGGGGCGGGGCCCAGCACCTACATAGGCCAGACAGCGCAGCGGGGGCGGAGTCTGGGCGGGGGCGGAGTCTGGGAGGGGCGGGGCCCAGCACCTACATAGGCCAGACAGCGCAGCGGGGCGGAGTCTGGGCAGGGGCGGAGTCTGGGAGGGGCGGGGCCCAGCACCTACATAGGCCAGACAGCGCAGCGGGGGCGGAGTCTGGGCGGGGGCGGAGTCTGGGAGGGGCGGGGCCCAGCACCTACATAGGCCAGACAGCGCAGCGGGGGCGGAGTCTGGATGGGACGGGGCGGGGCTCATTTGCATAGGCCAGACATCGCAGCGGGGGTGGAGCCTGGGTGGGAGGGGGCGGGGCTCATCTACATAGGCCAGACAGCGCCGCGGGGGCGGAGTCTGGGCGGGGGGCGGAGTCTGGGCGGGGCCCAGCACCTACATAGGCCAGACGGCGCAGCGGGGGCGGAGTCTGGATGGGAGGGGCGGGGCTCATTTGCATAGGCCAGACATCGCAGCGGGGGTGGAGCCTGGGTGGGGGGGCGGGGCTCATCTACATAGGCCAGACAGTGCAGCAGGGGCGGGGCCTGGGCGGGAGGGGGCGGGGCCCAGCGTCCACTTTGGCTTCAGAGGACAGCAGGGTGGGGCTCTTCTGAGGCAGGGGAGGAGGGCGGGACCTGACGGTCTCCCTGCTGCTCTCCAGCGTTTGCAGTGCTGGCCGCTGGCATTGCAAGGACCTCCCCTGCCCCGGAACCTGCGCCCTGGAGGGCGGCTCCCACATCACCACCTTCGACGGGAAGAAGTACACCTTCCACGGGGACTGTTACTACGTGCTGGCAAAGGTAAGGTGGGGCGGTGGCGGGCGGGCGCGGGGCTGGAGAGGGGCTGGACTGGCCCGTTGGCTCAAGCTTCCGGCCTTTGCAGGGTGAGCACAACGACTCCTATGCCCTCCTGGGTGAGCTGGCCCCCTGCGGCTCCACGGACAAGCAGACGTGCCTCAAGACTGTGGTGCTGCTCCTGGACAGGAAGAAGAACGTGGGTGCCCCCCCGCCCCCCCCCCCCCCCGCCCCGCCCCGCCCCACCCTGGCCCCTGCCTCCAGGCCCACTCAGCCCTGGGTCCCCTGCTTCCCTACAGGTGGTGTCCTTCAAGTCTGATGGCAGTGTGCTGCTGAATGAGCTGAGGGTGAACCTGCCACATGTCACTGGTGAGTCCTGCTGGCGGCTGGGGGTGGGGACGCCCCCACCTCCTGCTGGGGCACAGACCTCACCTGGCAGCCCTGTCTGGCCCTCCTTGCAGCGAGCTTCTCCATCTTCCAACCATCCTCCTACCACATCATCGTGAACACGGCCTTCGGCCTGCGGCTGCAGCTGCAGCTGGTGCCTGTCCTGCAGCTCTTCGTGAGCCTGGAGCAGGCTGCACAGGGCCACGTGCAGGGTGAGTGACCCCCGGCCCAGACCTGGGCGTGCAGGGCAAGTGACCCCAACTGAGACCTGGGAATGTAGGGCGAGTGTCCCCTGGCCCAGACCTGGGCGTGCAGGGCAAGTGACCCCAACCGAGACATGGGAATGTAGGGCGAGTGACCCCCAGCCCAGACTTGGGCGTGCAGGGCGAGTGACCCCTGGTCCCAGGCGTTCAGGGTGAGAGACCCTTTGGACCCCAATTCTTGGCATGCCACCTCCTGAGCCCGTTAACCTCCTCTGGCCCTTCAGGTCTCTGTGGAAACTTCAACGGTCTGGCGGGTGATGACTTCAAGACGCCGGGTGGGCTGGTGGAAGCCACTGGGGCTGGCTTTGCTAACACCTGGAAGGCCCAGTCCAGTTGCCATGACCAGCTCGACTGGCTGGACGACCCCTGCTCTCTCAACATCGAGAGCGGTGAGCTGCACCTGCCTTGCTCGGGGGCTCCTGCTGGGAGGGCCTGGAGGAGGGTGGGGCCCACCCCTGCATACGTACCTCTGGGTCTCGGGGCCCAGGGTACAGATGGCAGACTGCCACCTGCCAAGGCAGGGCAGCCCTGGCCGGGGGGCTGGGCCAAAAAGGCTGTGGTGCTGGACAGTTCGGCCTGCCTGCCACCCTCATACCCGGGAAGCCAGGCCCCCTCTCTGCCTGGCCCCATCCTGGGCCGACCTGGGGGAGCCTGAGCTGGACCCGCAGTGGCAGCTGTTGCTCTGCCGGGGGTACTGGCCATGGGCGCCCCACTGAAGTGTCCACCCCTGCAGCCAACTATGCCGAGCACTGGTGCTCCCTGCTCCGGAAGGCTGAGACGCCCTTTGCCAGGTGCCACTCGGCTGTGGACCCCGCGGAGTATTACAAGGTGCGCACGGCCAGCCCCACCCCACCCCACCCCACCCCATGGTCTGACCTGCTGCCAGGTGGCTCCTGTTGCAGGTGGCTGAGACTGTACATGGGAGCGTGTGGTGTGTGTCAAGTGTGTGCTCACCTGCGTGAGTGCGTGTGTGTGTGCACCCGTCGGGTGCTGGGATGCGGCCCTCATCCCCCCTCCTGTCTGTCCAGAGGTGCAAATACGATGCGTGTAACTGCCAGAACAGTGAGGACTGCATGTGTGCGGCTCTGTCTTCCTACGCCCGTGCCTGCGCTGCCAAGGGCGTCATGCTGTGGGGCTGGCGGGAGCGCGTCTGCAGTGAGTGCCCCACGGGCCCCCTGGGTGCCTGGGAGGGTTCTGCTGCCACCCTCGGCATGGCAGAGGGCCACCCTGGGTATCTCTGCTGACAGGAGTGACCCGCACAGACAGAGGAGGACAGAGGTGGCTGGGCAGAGGGGCCTCTGGCTGTGACTCACCCCTCCTGTGTTCTTCCTGCAGACAAGGACGTGGGCTCCTGCCCCAACTCCCAGGTTTTCCTCTACAACCTGACCACCTGCCAGCAGACGTGCCGCTCCCTGTCTGAGCCCGACTCCCACTGCCTCCGTGGCTTCGCGCCAGTGGACGGCTGCGGCTGTCCCGACCACACCTTCCTGGACGAGAAAGGCCGCTGCGTGCCCGTGGCCAAGTGCTCCTGCTACCACCATGGCCTCTACCTGGAGGCCGGCGAGGTGGTCCTGCGTCAGGAGGAACGCTGGTGGGTGCACTGGGGCAGGGACAGGGTCACTGAGGACCACTTGCCCCAGACCCTCCTGCAACCAGTCCCGGCTCACCCCTGCTCCCTCTTGCTCATAGTGTCTGCAAGAACGGGAGGCTGCACTGCATGCAGGTCAAGCTGCTGGGTCAGAGTAAGTGTGCTGGGCCATGTGTCCCCCCCTTCCCCCATCACTGCCCTCCCGCAGGCCCCGCCCCCAGCCTGCCCCATTCTCAAGCTCAGTGACCCCTGGGGCCCTGTAGGTTGTGCCACCCCAAAGATCCACGTGGACTGCAACAACCTGACCGCCCTGGCCACCCGGAGTCCTCGAGCCATCAGCTGTCAGACCCTGGCCGCAGGCTACGTAAGTGCAGGGAGGTGACCCCATGGCGCCGAGGGGCCAAGGCCCCTGGCACTGGGTTTTCTGTCCCTGGGGGCGGGGCCAGGCCGTTGCCCGGGATGCCGTTCCTTTGGGGGAGGCCTGGCTGCTGGCCTTCTCCACATCCGGGGCAGCAGGGGAAGGGGGCCTGGTCTCGGTGGGCCTGCTGCTCATCCCGCCCCTCTGTGCCCCAGTATCACACGGGCTGCGTGAGCGGCTGCGTGTGCCCCGAGGGAAAGCTGGACGATGGGCGGGGCGGCTGTGTGGTGGAGGAGGACTGTCCCTGCGTGCACAACAAGGACCTCTTCTCCCCCGGGGACGAGATCAAGGTGGACTGCAACACTTGGTGAGTGGCCTCCTGCTGACGTGGGGGCGCGGCGGGGGTCCCTCAGGACAGGCGGGGTGGCAGCTTGGGGCGCCGGGCCCCTGTACACCCGTGTTCGCTGTCCACAGCACGTGCCGGAAAGGGCGCTGGGCATGCACTCAGAACGTCTGCTACGGCACCTGCACCATCTACGGCAGCGGCCACTACATCACCTTCGACGGGAAGTACTACGACTTCGACGGGCACTGCTCCTACGTGGCGGCTCAGGTGCGGCGGGGTGGAGGGCTGGGGCCTGGGGCAGGCTCCCGGGCGCCCACAGGGCCTGGCTCACGCTCTCCGGCACCCACAGGACTACTGCGGTCACAACTCCTCCGGGGGCACCTTCAGCATCGTCACCGAAAACGTGCCCTGCGGCACCACCGGCGTCACCTGCTCCAAGGCCATCAAGATCTTCCTGGGGGTGAGTGAGCCCCCGCACTCTGGGCGCACGGTCTTGGGGACCCCCCGGAGCCGGCCGATGACAGGGCCTCTCTCCTGGCACAGAAAACAGAGCTGAAGCTGGAAGACAAGCACCGCGTGGTGATTCAGAGGGACCAGGGCCACCACGTGACCTACACCACTCGGGAAGTGGGCCAGTACCTGGTGGTGGAGGCCAGCCTCGGCATCATCGTGATCTGGGACAAGAAGACCACCATCTTCATCAAGCTCGCCCCTTCCTACAAGGTGAGCGGCCACCCGTCCACGGAGCCCCCACCTTATCCAGGCCCCACCTCCCGGCCCCGCCCACACGCCCAGGCCACGCCCACAAGGCCACACCCACCGGCGCTGGCTCCACCCATTCCCCTAGGCCACGCCCCACATCAGGCCCCGCCCTCCCAGACTCACCCTGCCGCGTTCCCCCTCCGCAGGGCACAGTGTGCGGCTTGTGCGGCAACTTCGACCAACGCTCCAACAATGAGTTCACCACCCGGGACCACATGGTGGTGGACAGCGAGCTGGATTTCGGGAACAGCTGGAAGGAGGCCCCCACGTGCCCCGACGTGAGCAGCACCCCTGACCCATGCACCAAGAACCCACACCGCCGCTCCTGGGCCGAGAAACAGTGCAGCATCATCAAGAGCTCCACGTTCGAGATCTGCCACGGAAAGGTGGGCGGGGAGAGCGCTGGGCGGTGGGTGGGACGTGGGGACCGTGCCTGGGGCAGGCCGTCCAGCTGCAGCGGTCCCCGGGACCCCTGAGCTGCTACCCGGTGCTCCCCAGGGCCCTTCTTTGGGGTCCCAGCCTCCACTCACTTCTGAGGAGGTGGGAAGGGTGCAGAGCCCCCAAAACCTCGGCAGCCCTCAGACCCACGTGGGGACAGTCAGGACGGGCACCCCCCCACTCTGAGGGCTGGGCGGCGCCACGGAGGGTCTGGGAGGCCCGTGCTGGGCTCTGCCCCATCCCCGGCCGGCACCTGCAGGGTCCTGTGCAGGGGGCGCAGCACTGACCCAGGCATCGGGGCTTCCCCGCAGGTGGACCCCAGGCCCTTCTACGAGGCCTGCGTACACGACTCGTGCTCCTGCGACTCGGGCGGGGACTGTGAATGCTTCTGCTCGGCCGTGGCCTCGTACGCCCAGGAGTGCACCAAGGAGGGTGCCTGCGTGTTCTGGAGGACGCCCGACCTGTGCCGTGAGTGCCCATCTGCCAGGGCTGTCCCGTCTGTCCTGGGCCCTGCTGTCCGGGCTCAGGCCCCGCTAACGCTGGCCCCCGCTCCACCCCGCAGCCATCTTCTGCGACTACTACAACCCCCGGGACGAGTGCGAGTTCCACTACGAGCCCTGTGGCAACCGCAGCCTGGAGACCTGCAGGACCTACAACGGCATCCACTCCAACATCTCCGTGTCCTACCTGGAGGGTGAGTGCCAGCGGCCACCGCGCTCTGGGGCTGGGGCAGGGGGCACCCAAGCATGAGGTCCAGAGCAGAGGGCACGAGGTGGCACAGGAGGGCCTCAGGTCGGGGGGGCTGGCTGAGGTCATGGGGGGACTTGATCGGCGTGCAGCCCTGCCTGCAAGGCCTGCCTGGCTCCGAGGGTCTTTCTCGAGGCGACATCCGACCGGGTGAGGACCATGGGTAGGGTCTGGGAACACGGTGGTCTGAGCTCATGCTCTGTGCCCGCAGGCTGCTACCCCCGGTGCCCCCAGAACAAGCCCCTCTTTGACGAGGATCTGATGAAGTGCGTGAAGGCAGAGGAGTGTGGCTGCTATGTGGACGACACCCACTACCCCCCAGGAACGTCCATTCCTGCTGAGGACGTCTGCCAGTCTTGGTACGTGAGCTCACACTCTGGGGTGCACCGGGGAGTTGGGCACACACATGCCTTCGTGCACACACACGCCCCCGCCCTTCCCTGGGCAGCCTGGTCACTGACTGCAGTTGGAACCCCCAGCGAGCCGGGTGTGGCGGCCTGGGGGTGTGTCCTCGGCACACAGGGCGGGCGGGCAGGGCCTCAGTGGGTGGGGTTATGCTCAGTGGGCGGGGCCTCCGGCCAGCGGTTGACCTGTCCCCTGCACCCCTGCGCTTGTTTTGCAGTGAATGCAACAACAGTTCACAAGTTGTCTGCCGCCCAGATGAAGGTGAGCTGCGTCCAGCCCCCCCGGGGGCCCGAGTCACAGGCGAGGCACACCCAGGAGGTGCAGGACTCCGGCTCCTTGCGTGGGGTCTCCTGGGCTCCAGGGGGTCTCACCTGGGGCCTGATAGGGGTCCCTTAGGGTTCTGCGGATAAAAGCGGGGGCGGAAGTCTGCCTGTCCCAGTGGTGCTGACGTCCCCTTCCCCACAGGGAAGATTTTCAACTTCACCCAGCATGGCTCCTTCTGCTACTGGGAGATCTGTGGGCCCAACGGGACAACGGTGCCGCACTTCAATATCTGCGTGTCCACCCCGACGCCTTCGACCTACCCAACGTCACCCACCAGCCCTGCGGCCACCACTAGCACTACCACTAGCACCAGCACTGTGCTGACACCCAGCACAGGTGAGGGCCACACAGCTTGGGCCAGGGCTGCTCCTCCCCGCAGACGCCCTGGCCATCAGCCAGGACACAGGGAGGCGCCCTGGGGGTCCCAAATGCTGGCATTTCCCCCGTGGAGACAGCGGAGCCGTGTCCCAGGTTCTGTGGGTGGCTCCAGCTGCTGCCAGCCCATGGCGAGCTCGGGGGTGGGTGGGAGCTCTCTCCATGCCCGGCTAACTAACGCCCTTTTGTCTCCTCTCCTCGGCTGCAGCGTCACCTACTGTTTCAACTACTCCGAGTAAGTTGCTGGTGGCTCCTGCCGGGAAGCCGGGATGCGTGGTGGGGGCCCCCAGCCCCACGTCGGCCTCTTGGTTTCGATGGACTGAGTCCAGGACCACGCGCAGGGGGCTTGAGCGAGTCTGAGGGACAGTTCTATCGGTCAGAACTCCCACCAGATCCTTCCCCTTGGAGGGACGCCCCTTCTGTGACTCACTCATGTCAGCACCACCACCCAAACGGGCTGGTGAGGGGCGGGGCGGGTGTGGGGGCCGGGCCCATCCCTCGGGGGGCCTTCTGGGTGCCATCTCAGCCTTCATCCAGCCCTCAGGCAGTGCTGGTGGGGCTCCCTGGGTCCCCAGGAATAAGAACCCTATTCTCCCTTCCTAGAAGTGTGCTGCTTCTGGTCCGACTGGATTAACGAGGACAGCCCCCACACCGGCGAGGGCGACCACGAGACTTTTGACGAAGTCTGTCGGGCCCCAGAGGACATTGAGTGCCGGTCGGCCACGGAGCCCCACCTCAGCTGGGAGGAGCTGGGCCAGAAGGTGCAGTGTGACGTCTCCTCCGGGCTCGAATGCAAGAACGAAGACCAGTTTGGAAACGGATTATTTGGACTCTGTTACGACTACATGATCCGAGTTAACTGTTGCTTGCCAATGGATGAGTGTCCCGAAACCTCAACCCCGCCTTCCTCGGCTCCAACCACTGCCTCTACCACCACACCTACGGCCTCACCTACCACCTCCCCGACTGCGTCCTCTACCGCGACACCAACAGTCTCCACAACCACTTCTACCACCTCGCCCACCACCGCCTCTACCACCACACCAGCCACATCTCCAACCACGACGCCAACCCACACGCCTCCAGCTGTCTCGTCTACCCCCTCCACAGCGGTTCCGACGACAACATCACCGACCACCTCTGCTACCACCACACCAGCCACGCCAGCCACACCCCCAGCCTCCTCACCAACTACCTCTGCCATCTCAACACCCTGTCACGAGGACTGCAGATGGACGGGCTGGCTGGACTCCGGGAAACCAGGCACTTCCAGACCAGGAGACTACGAACCCGTCGAGGGCGTCTGCAAAAATGAAGACGGCCTGTGGGCAGTGAACATCTCCTGCAGAGCTGTGATGTACCCCAACGTTCCTCTTGAGCAGCTGGGCCAGCAGGTGACCTGTGACCTCACCCAGGGGCTGGTGTGCGAGAATAAGAACCAGAAGCCAGGGGGACCCATACCTCAGCCCTTCTGCATCAACTATGAGATCAACGTCTACTGCTGCGGGCACTGTGGCCCCACAACCACCCCGAAGTCCACCACCCCACCCTCCACGACTACCACCACCGAGACCCCAACGCCAACCACTACGAGCACCTTCACGACCACCACCTCCACGGAGACCCCAACTGCCACACCTACCACTACCTCCACAGAGACCCCAACGCCAACTCCCACCACCACCTCCACGGAGACCCCAACGCCAACTCCCACCACCACCTCCACGGAGACCCCAACGCCAACTCCCACCACCACCTCCACGGAGACCGCAACCCCAACTCCTACCACCACCTCTGGGGAGACCCCAACCCCAACTCCCACCACCACCTCCACAGAGACCCCAACTACAACATCTACCACCCCAGGAACCACAACTCCTACCACCCCTGGGACCACAACCCCACCTGTCAGCACCACAACAACTGTGACCTCAACTCCATCATCCACCACCACCTCCCCTGAGACCACAACTCCATCATCCACCACCACATCCTCTGAGACCCCAACTACAATATCCACCACCTCCCCTGAGACCCCCACTACAACATCCACCACCCCAGGAACCACATCTTCCACCCCAGGGACCTCAACTTCCAACACCCCTGGGACCACAACTCCACCTGTCAGCACCACAACATCAACTGGGACCCCAACTCCAACTCCCACAACCACCTCCCCTGAGACCACAACTTCATCATCCACCACCACCTCTCCTGAGACCCCAACTACAACATCCACCACCCCAGGAACCACATCTCCCACCCCAGGAACCACAACTCCCAACACCCCTGAGAACACAACCCCACCTGTCAGCACCACAACATCAACTGGGACCCCAACTCCAACTCCCACAACCACCTCCCCTGAGACCACAACTCCATCATCCACCACCACCTCCTCTGAGACCCCAACTACAACATCCACCACCCCAGGAACCACATCTTCCACCCCAGGGACCACAACTTCCAACACCCCTGGGACCACAAGTCCACCTGTCAGCACCACAACATCAACTGGGACCCCAACTACAACTCCCACAACCACCTCCCCTGAGTCCACAACTCCATCATCCACCACCACATCCTCTGAGACCCCAACTACAACATCCACCACCCCAGGAACCACATCTTCCACCCCAGGGACCACAACTTCCAACACCCCTGGGACCACAACTCCACCTGTCAGCACCACAACATCAACTGGGACCCCAACTACAACTCCCACAACCACCTCCCCTGAGTCCACAACTCCATCATCCACCACCACATCCTCTGAGACCCCAACTACAACATCCACCACCTCAGGAACCACATCTTCCACCCCAGGGACCACAACTTCCAACACCCCTGGGACCACAACTTCACCTGTCAGCACCACAACATCAACTGGGACCCCAACTCCAACTCCCACAACCACCTCCCCCGAGACCACAACTCCATCATCCACCACCACATCCTCTGAGACCCCAACTACAATATCCACCACCTCCCCTGAGACCCCAACTACAACATCTACCACCCCAGGAACCACATCTCCCACCACTCCAGAGACCACAACTCCCACTGCCCCTGGGACCCCAATCACACCTGTCAGCACCACAACATCGACTGGGACCCCAACTCCAACTCCCACAACCACCTCCCCTGAGACCACAACTTCATCATCCACCACCACCTCTCCTGAGACCACAACTACAACATCCACCACCCCAAAGACCACAATTCCCAGCACCATCTCTACTAACACATCAACTGTGACCCCCACTCTATCCTCCACTACTGTTACCACAACCTCCACAGAGACCCCGACACCAACATCCACCACCACAGGTACCACAACCCCCAGCACTACGATCACTGAGAGCTCAACCCCTACTCCCTCGGTGACGTCAACGATGACACCTACCACTACTACACTGGGAACCTCAACAGCACCCCCTTCCAGCACAGAGACCACCACTCCAACCTCCTTGACAACCACCCCTACCAACTCTCCAACCACCGCTTCTACCACCTCACCAAAGACGCCTATGACTCCAAGCATCCCCTCGACCACCACACCAGTGACCCCTACCTCACAAGTGACACCCACAACTCCAACCACATCTGCCATCTCTACAACAACCTGTGATGAGGACTGCAGATGGACGGGCTGGCTGGACTCCGGGAAACCAGGCACTTCCAGACCAGGAGACTACGAACCCGTCGAGGGCGTCTGCAAAAATGAAGACGGCCTGTGGGCAGTGAACATCTCCTGCAGAGCTGTGATGTACCCCAACGTTCCTCTTGAGCAGCTGGGCCAGCAGGTGACCTGTGACCTCACCCAGGGGCTGGTGTGCGAGAATAAGAACCAGAAGCCAGGGGGACCCATACCTCAGCCCTTCTGCATCAACTATGAGATCAACGTCTACTGCTGCGGGCACTGTGGCCCCACAACCACCCCGAAGTCCACCACCCCACCCTCCACGACTACCACCACCGAGACCCCAACGCCAACCACTACGAGCACCTTCACGACCACCACCTCCACGGAGACCCCAACCCCAACCCCGAGCACCTTCACCACCACCTCCACGGAGACCCCAACCCCAACATCCACCACTCCAGAAACCACAATTACCACCACTACCCCCTCTACAACAACCCCCAGAACCTTCACCACCACCACCTCCACAGAGACCCCAACCCCAACCCCTGCCATTACCACCACCACCTCCACAGAGACCACAACTCCTACATCTGTGCCCCCAGAAGTCACAACTCCCACCACAACCACAACAACCACTGAGACCCCAACACCAACTCCCAGCATTGAAACTGGCACCACATCGAGTCAGACCACAAGCCCGACTACCAAGACCCCAGGTACCACAACTCCCACCACCTCCACTGAGACCCCAACTCCATCAACCACCACCACCTCCACTGAGACCCCAACCTCAACTCCCACAACCACCTCCACTCAAACCGCAACTGCAACACCTACTACCACCTCCACTGAGACCCCAACCCCAACTCCCACCACCACTTCCACAGAGACACCAACCCCAACTCCCACCACCACCTCCACGGAATCCCCAACCCCAACTCCCACCACCACCTCCACGGAATCCCCAACCCCAACTCCCACCACCACTTCCACGGAGACCCCAACTCCATCATCCACTGCAACTTCCACGGAGACGCCAACTACAACATCCACCACCCCAGGAACCACATCTCCCACCACACCAGGGGACACAACTCCCACCACCTCTGGGACCCCAACGGCACCTGTCAGCACCACAACATCAACTGGGACCCCAACTCCAACTCCCACAACCACCTCCCCTGAGACCACAACTTCATCATCCACCACCACCTCTCCTGAGACCACAACTACAACATCCACCACCCCAGGAACCACATCTCCCACCCCAGGAACCACAACTCCCAACACCCCTGAGAACACAACCCCACCTGTCAGCACCACAACATCAACTGGGACCCCAACTCCAACTCCCACAACCACCTCCCCTGAGTCCACAACTCCATCATCCACCACCACCTCCTCTGAGACCCCAACTACAATATCCACCACCTCCCCTGAGACCCCAACTACAACATCTACCACCCCAGGGACCACAACTCCCACCACCTCAGGGACCACAACTCCACCTGTCAGCACCACAACATCAACTGGGACCCCAACTGTGTCATCCACCATCACCTCGCCTGGGACCTCAACTCCATCATCCACCACCCCAGGAACCACATCTCCCACCACTCCAGAGACCACAACTCCCACTGCCCCTGGGACCCCAATCACACCTGTCAGCACCACAACATCGACTGGGACCCCAACTCCAACTCCCACAACCACCTCCCCTGAGACCACAACTTCATCATCCACCACCACCTCTCCTGAGACCACAACTACAACATCCACCACCCCAGGAAACACATCTCCCACCACCCCAGAGAACACAACCTCACCTCTCAGCACCACAACATCAACTGGGACCCCAACTCCAACTCCCACAACCACCTCCCCTGAGATCTCAACTCCATCACCCACCACCACCTCCCCTGAGACCCCAACTACAACATCTACCACCACAGGAACCACATCTCCCACCCCAGGAACCACAACTCCCAACACCCCTGAGACCTCTACCCCACCTGTGAGCACCACAACATCAATTGGGACCCCAACCCCAACTCCCACCACCACCTCCACGGAGACCCCAACCCCAACTCCCACCACCACCTCCACAGAGACCCCAACCCCAACTCCCACCACCACCTCCACGGAGACCCCAACCCCAACTCCCACCACCACTTCCACGGAGACCCCAACCCCAATTCCCACCACCACCTCCTCTGAGGCCACAACTACAACATCCACCACCCCAGGAAACACATCTCCCACCACCCCAGAGATCACAACCTCACCTGTCAGCACCACAACATCAACTGGGACCCCAACTCCAACTCCCACAACCACCTCCCCTGAGTCCACAACTCCATCATCCACCACCACATCCTCTGAGACCCCAACTACAACATCCACCACCCCAGGAACCACATCTTCCACCCCAGGGACCACAACTTCCAACACCCCTGGGACCACAACTCCACCTGTCAGCACCACAACATCAACTGGGACCCCAACTCCAACTCCCACAACCACCTCCCCTGAGACCACAACTCCATCATCCACCACCACCTCCCCTGAGACCCCAACTACAACATCCACCACCTCAGGAACCACATCTTCCACCCCAGGGACCACAACTTCCAACACCCCTGGGACCACAACTTCACCTGTCAGCACCACAACATCAACTGGGACCCCAACTCCAACTCCCACAACCACCTCCCCTGAGACCACAACTTCATCATCCACCACCACCTCTCCTGAGACCCCAACTACAACATCCACCACCTCAGGAACCACATCTTCCACCCCAGGGACCACAACTTCCAACACCCCTGGGACCACAACTTCACCTGTCAGCACCACAACATCAACTGGGACCCCAACTCCAACTCCCACAACCACCTCCCCTGAGACCACAACTTCATCATCCACCACCACCTCTCCTGAGACCCCAACTACAACATCCACCACCTCAGGAACCACATCTTCCACCCCAGGGACCACAACTTCCAACACCCCTGGGACCACAACTTCACCTGTCAGCACCACAACATCAACTGGGACCCCAACTCCAACTCCCACAACCACCTCCCCTGAGACCACAACTTCATCATCCACCACCACCTCTCCTGAGACCCCAACTACAACATCTACCACCAAAGGAACCACATCTCCCACCCCAGGAACCACAACTCCCAACACCCCTGAGACCTCTACCCCACCTGTGAGCACCACAACATCAACTGGGACCCCAACCCCAACCCCCACCACCACCTCCACAGAGACCCCAACCCCAACTCCCACTACCACCTCCACGGAGACCCCAACCCCAACTTCCACCACCCCAGGGACCCCACCCCCTAGCACTATCTCTACTACCACATCACCTGTGACTCCTACAACAACGCCCACTACCTCAGAGGTCACGACTCCCACCCGCACTGCCACCACCACTGTGCCCTCATCCCCGACCCTCGGCATTGTCACCAGTCCTCACCCAGAGACCGTCACAGTACCTCCTCTGGAGCTCACCACGACCGGAACCCCTCCTATGTCCTCCACCACCACGAGACCTACCACTCCAGGGACTTCTAGCACGCCACCATCGACTCCGCTTCGTCCAAGCAGCACCCCTCCAGGTACCGACCTCTATGGGGGTCTGGGGGGACTCTCCCGCCCCTGCTACCCGCCCAGAGTGTTGCAGAGGCCCCTGCTCATCTGTGCCCCTTTGAGGGCAGGGAGGGCGCGCTGCCCACCAGCTCCGGGTGGGAGCAGAGGCCGCGCATGGGCCTTTGGGTCCTTGGCAGCATCTCACAGGCAGACCTGGATTCCGTGTGGCCGAATGCCAGCCCGGCAGCTGTGGGCCTGCCTGCCACATGCTGCCCGTCTCACGGCTCCCCCATCCTGCAGGCACCCCAGAGACCACCTCCAGCAGAGCAACCACATCTGTGCCCCCCTCGCCCACCACGAGCCCCGGCTCCACTCCCACATCCCCTCCTGCGACTGTGACCACGACCACCACAGGAACCACACCTGCGACCGGACACACCTCCATCACGACCCAGACCAGCACCACCATGGTGTCCAGCATGACGCCCTCCACCGTGAGCCCCATCGTCACGCCCAGCATCAGTCAGACCACAGGCTCCAACACCCCCATCTCCACACAGAAGTACTGCTGCGTGCTCAACGACACCTACTTCGCTCCAGGTGCGGGGCCCCGGGGCGCAGGCCACCGGGGCTGGGTGTGGGGCTGCAGGAGGTGGGCAGCCCAGGGTGGACGGCGGTAAGAATGTGACCTTGCAGGGGAGGTGGTGTACAACGGGACCCACGGAGGCATCTGCTACTATGTCAACTGCTCCGAGAACTGCACCTTCCAGTTCTTCAACTGGTCATGCCCCTCCACTCCTCCGCCCACGTCCACGCCCACCAAACCCACACCCTCCTCGTCACCCAGCACCAGCACACCTGCCTCCCAGACCCCCACTACCACCCCATCAACCACCCCCAAGATCCCCGGCTGCCCAGACTTCGACCCTCCCAGACAGGTGAGTGACTGGGGTGGGGGACTGGTGTTTCCCTGCTCTGCCCCCACCAGGGCCTGCAGTCCTGGGCACGGCTCTGCAGGCACTGTGGACACTGCTGCCCCAGGCTGCATGGCCCTTGTTGGCTGCCTCCTGGGCTATGCACGGCCCCTCCTGGTGGGCCTCCTCGCGGGACCCGTGGGGGCTGACCGTGCCCACCTGGGTGTCCTTTCAGGAAAATGAGACGTGGTGGCTGTGTAACTGCACCCAGGCCATCTGCAAGCACGACAACACAGTGGAGCTGGTGCAGGTGGAGTGCAAGCCACCGCCCATGCCCACCTGCTCCAACGGCCTGACGCCAGTGCGCGTCATGGATCCCGACGGCTGCTGCTGGCACTGGGAGTGCGACTGTAAGCCCCCCCACGCGGCCCTGTCCCGGTGTCCCTGCTTCCCCCGGCCCCTCCTCACCTGCCCCTCCTCCCGCAGGCTACTGCACGGGCTGGGGAGACCCCCACTACGTCACCTTCGACGGGCTGTACTACAGCTACCAGGGCAACTGCACGTACGTGCTGGTGGAGGAAATCGTCCCCACGGTGGACAACTTCGGGGTCTACATCGACAACTACCACTGCGACCCCACTGACCAGGTGTCCTGTCCGCGCACGCTCATCGTGCGCCACGAGACCCAGGAGGTGCTGCTCAAGACCGTGAGCATGGCGCCCATGGTGGTGCAGGTAGGTGCCGCCGCCCTCCCGCTGCCCACCAGCCCTCCCCGAGGACCCAGCCTAAGAATTCTTGGGCCTTGAGGCGAGCTTCGTCTGCCCAGGGCCTGGCCCCGCCCACCGGGGGCCTGGCCCCGCCCACCGGGGGGGCCTGGCCCCGCCCACCGGGGGGCCTGGCCCCGCCCACCCATGACTCAGCCCCAACAGGACCTGGCCACGCCCAACAGGACCTGGCCACGCCCACCAGGGCCTGGCCCCGCCCACCCACGGCTCAGCCCCAACAGGACCTGGCCACGCCCACCAGGGCCTGGCCCCGCCCACCCACGGCTCAGCCCCAACAGGACCTGGCCACGCCCACCAGGGCCTGGCCACGCCCACCCCAGGCCTGGCCCCGCCCACAAAGGGCTGGTCTCGCCCACAAGTTCGTGCCCGGTCCCCCACAGGACCTAACCCCACCCAGCCGCCTTCTGACACCCATTGTCCCCAGGTGCAAGTGAACAAGCAGGCCGTGGCCCTGCCTTACAAGAAGTTCGGCCTGGAAGTGTACGAGTCTGGCATCAACCACGAGGTGTCCATCCCCCGGCTGGACGCGGTCATCTCCTACAACGGCCTGTCCTTCTCCATCCGGCTGCCCTACCATCTCTTCGGCAACAACACCAAGGGCCAGTGTGGTGAGCGGGAGACCCGGAGGGAGTGTGTGGGCGGGGCTGGGAAGGTCGGACTAGGGCCCCAGAGGGCTCGGGGTCCCGGGGTGCAGCTCGGCCCTCGTCCGCCCAGGCACCTGCACCAACAACACGGCGGACGACTGCATGCTGCCCAGTGGGGAGATGGTCTCTGACTGCGAGGTGGCCGCCGACAAGTGGGTGGTGAACGACCCCTCCAAGCCCCACTGCCCACAGTCCAGCTTCACCACCAAGCGCCCGGCCCTCACCACGCCTGGAGGCGGCAGCCCCGGCCAGAGCTGTGCCTCCCCTCTCTGCGACCTCATCATGGGCAGGTGAGCCCAGGCCGCTCAGGCCTGCCGAGGGGCGTCCAGATGGACAGGGACGAACTGTCTGTCGGGGCTAATGCGGGGCCGGTTTGCTGATGGGCTGATCAGGGTCCGATCAGGGACCGAACATGCGGGGAGCGGTGGGGAACCTGCCCCCACCGTGTGGCGGCGGTCCTGACACCGGTGTCCACGCAGCAAAGGGCGTCTGTGTCCGCTCCCCGAGCCCACCTCTGGCGCTCCCCGCTCTCTGGCCCGGGAGTCCCGGGGGAGCCTGGCCCGGCGGGAGCAGAGGCGGGACCCCGGCATCTTCCGTTTCTCGCTCCACAGCCTGTTCTCCAAGTGCCACAGCCTGGTGCAGCCCCAGCACTACTACGAGGCCTGCGTGTTCGACAGCTGCGTCGTGCCGGGCGAGCACCTCGAGTGCGCCAGCCTGCAGGCCTACGCCACCCTCTGTGCCCACGAGGGCGTCTGCATCGACTGGCGCAACCACACCAACGGCATCTGCTGTGAGTGCCCCACCGTGGGCGCCGAGTCGGGGGGTGCGGGACGGCCTGCCCCTGACGCCGCCCTCTGTTCCCCCCTCCCACAGCGCTGAGCTGCCCGTCCCACAGGGAGTACAGGGCCTGTGGACCCGCCCAGGAGCCCACCTGCAAGTCCAGGTGTGCGTCGGGGAGAGGCGTGGAGGGAGGGTTGTGGGCGGGGCGGCCGTACTGACCCGCTGTGACCCGCAGTGTCCCCGACACCCTGGAGCTGAACGACACCCAGCAGGTGGAAGGTTGCTTCTGTCCCGAGGGCACCATGAGCTACGCCCCCGGCTTCGATGTCTGCGTGGAGTCCTGCGGTAAGGGGTGCCCCTTCCCGCACTCCACGCCAGCCCCTGCCTGCTGTGCTCTGCTAACATGGGCGTTTCTTCTCCCTTCTAGGCTGCGTGGGACCTGACAACGTGCCCAGAGAGGTAGGTCCCCCTGTGGGGCTGCAAGTGCTTCTCCCCTGAGCCCTGAACTTGGGGGCGGGTGGAGATGAGAGCCAGGCAGTCTCAAAGACTAGATCAGGAGTTATTGAAGCCATGAAAGGTTGAGCTGGCAGGGGAAGTCCACCCACCACCACCCACCACCCACCGTCATACACCCCCATCCATCCACCATCTGTCACCAGTCATCCCTACCCATCCAATACCCATCCACCCACCATCCATCCATCCATCCACCATTTATCACCACGCATCCCTATCCACCATCCATCTGCCATTCACCCCCCATCCACCCACCACCCACCCCCATCCATCCACCCATCTGTCCAGCCACCACCTATCTATACCACTGCACAACCGCCCCCTCCCTCCCCTTCAAACGTGTCCATCCATCCCTGCCCCACCTCAGCAACTCGTGGATCACGTGACTTGGTGTCCACACGTGAGCTGTGTTTTTTGTGTTTGCACATGGTGCGTTGGTCACCTGCCAGGCTTGCACAGGGACATGCAGGTGGGTGGGTTCAAGCATAGAGTCAGTCACCGGGCCTCAAGCAGTTGGACAGACACAGGCCCTTGAGGGTGGCCCCAGGCTCACCCCCTTCCTCTTGCAGTTTGGGGAGCACTTTGAGTTCGACTGCAAGGACTGCGTGTGTCTGGAGGGTGGCAGCGGCATCGTCTGCCGTCCCAAGAAGTGCCAGCTGAGCCCAGTGCCCAAGTGCACGGAGGAGGGCACCTACCCCGTCGTCGAGCTCAACCCGGCCCAGCCCTGCTGCAACACCACCACCTGCAGTAAGGGGGGATCCAGGCGCTCTGGTGCTGGGGGACCCGGGTGTGAGGCCTGCCCGTGGGTCACCCGCTCACCACCGCGTCCCCCCTCCCCCAGAATGCAACATCAGCCTCTGCGAGGACAAAGCCCACACCTGTCCGCTGGGCTTCCAGGTGAAGAGGCAGCACGTGGCTGGCAAGTGCTGCCCAGTCTACTCCTGTGGTGAGTGGCCAGGCTGGTGGCTGGTGGGGAGGGGTGGCTGAGCCTGTCTGACCCGAGTCCCTCTGTCCCCCAGAGCCCAAGGGCGTGTGCGTGGTGGGAAATGCCGAGTACCAGGTGAGTGGTACTTTGAGCCTGGTACTTTGGTACCCTTGCTGAGGTGGGGGCGGGGCCCCTTGGGGCAGCCTGGCGGTGGTGCTGACCGGCCTCTGTGCCCACAGCCTGGCTCCCCAGTCTACTCCTCCAAGTGCCAGAAGTGCAATTGCACCAGCCAGAGGAACAACACCACACAGCTCAACATCATCTCCTGCACCCACGTGTCCTGCCCCAGCTCCTGTGACCCCGTATGCACCCACCCTGTGTCCCCTCCCCCATCCTCTCGCCCCGTGAACCCTCGTCCAGGTCCACTTCCCCTCACCCCGTGTTCTCTTCGCCCTGGGCTCCACTCACTCCCCCCACCCCACCCCGTATCCCGCTGCCCCGGGCCCACTGCTGCCCCTGTGTCCTGCAGGGCTTCGAGATGGTTCCGGTCAGTGGGGAGTGCTGCGGGAAGTGTGTACAGACGCACTGTGTCATCAAGCAGCCCAGCGGCCACCACCTCATCCTGCAGGTGTGTTTCCCAGGCTCCTTCCCTGAGAGGCCCGCACAGCCCAGGTCCGCGGTGGGCATCCCCCCACTGCAGCTGGCACCTGTTCCCGGGAGTGCTCCGGACCCCCCTGGGTGTGCTTGGGGGGTCCTGCCAACCTCAGCACTGTCTCTGCCCGCAGCCCGGAGACACGAAGAGTGACCCCAGCAACAACTGTACCTTCTTCAGCTGCGTGAAGATCCATAACCAGCTCATCTCATCTGTCTCCAACATCACCTGCCCCGACTTTGACCCCAGTGCCTGCGTCCCTGTGAGTGTCCCCAGGGGTCCCTGTTAGCCCAGGCAGCCGCCGGGAGGACGGTGGAGTGGGGGCGGGAGGTGCAAGGGGGCAGCCACTGACGTCCCTTTCCCGCAGGGTTCCATCAAGCTCATGCCCAACGGCTGCTGCAAGACCTGTGAGTCCCGGGTGTGGGCAGCCGCGGGGGCTCCGGGGGTGGGGGCGGCCCGGTGCGCGCCGCGTGCGGCGGGAGGGGGGTGGGGAGGGCGGTCGGGCGCGGGACCGAGCCTGGCCTCCCCGCAGGCATCCATCGCAATGAGACGCAAAGGCCCTGCTCCATCGTCCCCGTCACCACGGAGGTCTCGCACGCTGGCTGCACCCGGAACGTCACCATGAACTTCTGCGCAGGCTCCTGCCGCACCTTTGCCAAGTGAGTCCCGGGGGCCGTGGGCGTGGCCACGGGCCGGGCTGGGGCGGGGCCTGGCAGTGGGCGGGGCCACCAGGGCGGGCCAATGGCAGACCAGCCTGTCGGTGGGCGGGGCCGAGAGGGGCAGTGTCGGTGGGCGGAGCCTGCATCTCTGCAGAGGCACCTCAAGCCGCCTTCCTGCAGGTACTCGCTGGAGGCGCAATCCCTGGACCACAAATGCTCTTGCTGCAAGGAGGAGCGCACCAGCCAGCGGGAGGTGATCCTGAACTGCCCCACGGGCAGCACCATCAAGCACACCTACACCCACATTGAGAGCTGCCTGTGCCAGGACACCAGCTGCGAGCCCCAGCGTCGTGGCCCCGGCCGCACCCGCCGCTCGGGTCCCCGCGGCCCACGTCCAGGCCTGGAGTGAGCAGGCTCTGCCGCTGCATCCCCCTGACCCTCTGCGCACCCTTTCCTCCTAAACTGCTTTCTCTCTGCGTATTTATTTTCCAAATCTCAACATCCTTTGCTTCATTGGCAATAAACTTTGACAGATTCAAAGCGTGTGTGTTTCTCTGGGTGCCGGAGGGGTTGGGGGCTGCTTTGTACCTGGTGTGCAGCAGCCCATGGGGTGTCAAAAGGGGTCTCGGGCTGTGGACACCAGGCTCTGCACCTTATCCTTGGTCACCATGTGCACAAGGTGGCCCGGGAGGCAAACTTGGGGTTATAGAATCAACCCCCAAAACCACTTCTCCAGGCCCCTGGAACACAGAGTTCCTGCAGGAAGCCCCTCTAAGCTTACTCCCAAGAGCCCTGAGGAGCCCGGGCAACTTAGCTCCATTTCCTGGGCTTTCACCCGGGATCCACTGGCTGGCGAGTGTGAGTAAACACATGACCGTGTATGTCTGTGTGTGCATGTGCAACTGTGAGCATGCATGTGAGTGCACGTGTGCCTGTACATTCAACTGCATATGTGCCTTGTGTGTGTATGTGCAAGTGTGTGAGTGCATATGTGTAAGCATGTGTGCACACATGTGTGGATGTGCATGCTGTGAGCCTGTGAATGTGTGCATGAACGTGTAAGCATGTGAATGCATTGTTTGCATGTGTAAGCATATGAGTGCATTGCATTTGTGTGTGTGCGTGTACATTGTTTGCATGCGTGTAAGTGTGCATGTGTAAACAGGTGAGTGTGCACTATTTGCATATGTATGAGTGCATGTGTGGCTTTATGCATCAGCATATGTATTCTGTATGTGAGCTGCACAGTGCCGACACATGCAAGTTCTGGGTAACCAGATCTGGACTCAGGTTGGCCCCCGAATGGGGCAGCAGGTGGCCCTGTAGGCAGGGTTGTGCTTAGTGCTGGCAGTGCGGCCTGGCCACCTGGACCTGTCCAGGGGCTCAGCCCAACTCTCCTCCAGGCCCCAAGGACCTCCCACCTGGACACGTGGCCCTACAGGCCCGCCATGTTCTGCCCAAAGTGCTTTTTCAAGCCCATCTCCACCTTTCCTCATTCCCAGGTGCCCCTCCTCAAACCCCCCTTTCCTCTTTGCTGTGTCCCAGCCTGTCACCGGGTTATCGGGTTATCAGGCAGGGCCCTGGGGAGACTGTGGGGCCCAGTGTAGGCTGGCAGGGAGCCCGGCCAGGACTCGGGCCAGCGGTGTTCCTCTCATGCCAGAGATTACAGGCTGGCTAAGGGCCAGGTGCAACCGTGCCTGGTCAGCAGGGGGCCCTGTCTGGCACAGACCCTCCACGCCTGCAGCTTGACTGCTGGTCGCTGCACCCTGTGGGCCTGGAGATTGCGGGTCGCAGGGACTGAGGGGCACGTGCAGGGGACATCTTTGAGAGTCGAGATAAGCTACTCCCCGTGGGCACTGTAGAGGTGGGGGTTCTGGGGAACCACCCACGCAGCACCCAGTGCTCAGCACTTCCTGCCCTTGGGTTCAGGAGACCTCCTGGAGGCAGGATTCTGGGGGCCCTTCCTGTACCCTGACTGGCTCCAGGCCTCTGTTGGCCCCTGTGGATGACACTGTCTCACCCTCTCTGTGCCTGCACCCTGGTGGGGTCTGGGGGACCCGGGAAGAGTCCTGCAGAGAGCAGAGGGCCCTCTGCCTGCGGGGGCTGCCCCCTTCCCCCTCTGCCTGCAGGGGCAACCCCTCCCTCCTCCCTCTGACTGCTGGGGCTCTCTCCCTCCTCCCTCTGACTTCCTGGAGCTGGGGTCTTCGGGCAGCAGCAAACAGGGTAGATGGCCCTGACGCAGCAGAGCAGGGTGGGGGGGTGCCGAGCATGAAGTTGAGGCTCAATCTCCAGCCTTGGGGACCCTCTGCCACTCACCGCCCATTGGACAGCCCTGCCCACCCCCATCTGCCCTCACATGTGCCCACCTCTCCTCAATATCTTCATCTGTATCTTTCTGTCTCGATCTCTGCCTGTTTCTGCCTCTCTGCATCTCGATCACTGTCTCTGTGTCTCTCTGTCTCTGTGCCTCTATCTCTGAGTCAGCCTCTGTGTCTCTACCTGTATCTGTCTCTACGTCTCTCCCTCTGTCTCTTCATCTGTTTCCGTGTCTATCTCTGTCTGTGGCTCTCTCCCCCGGCCCCAGTCTGCACGGCAGCTGTCAGATAGGGCTCCATTAAAACCCCATCATTCTCGTAGCTAAACAAGGTGGTGGGGCCGGCCCTGTATGTAAACAGGCCGCATCCGTCATCTGCGCGGCCTCCGCCCATTGCTCCTGGGAACCTGGGATGGTGTAGGGCGACAAGGGGGGCCCCGGGGGCCAGCGCTTCCCCTCCCGGCCACAGCACGCCCTCACTGCGTCCTCGCCCTGCCGGCCACGGCACACCCTCGCCCATGTCCTTTCTGTGCCCTCGGCCCCGATCCTCAAGAGGCCCCTGCACTGGCCACCATGTGGGGTTGACAGGGACAAGGAACAGCTGACATGGGAGGGGACAGGCCTCTGCCCAGGAGACTAGAGGGGACACGGTTTGGGACGCAGGCGAGTGTCCCCATCTCTGCCTGCCCCAGGGATAGGATGGCACTGCCGGCTGGCTGAGGGGACAGAAAGCCCCACTGCTGACCCCATCCTGGGGGCACGTTGGACAGGAGCACCCAGAGCCCCCCACTTCTGCATCCCTCCCCCTATGCTCCTTCCCCAGCATCCCACTTCCCGCCTCACCCCTGCGCCCCACCCCCACACTCTACCCTCTGCCCCCCTCAGCCCCCACGCTCCACCCCTGCATCCTACACCCACCCCCACCCCATGCCCCTCCCTCCCAGAGTTCAGCCCAGGTCGGGTGTGAAGCTGTCGCAGTACAGCCTAGTATGGGGGCGCAGGCCCGGGCCACTCTGGACTACTGCAAGAGGGACCTTTCCAAGTGGGGTGTTACGAGAGTGGGGGCAGCTCCTCACTAAGAGGGGCTACCAGGGTCCCGGTGCTCTGCCTGGGATGCACCTGGCAGAGCCTGCCTGCTGGCTGTGCCCCACAGAGTTCCTGTTTATCCATCCCAGCACCAGGAACATCTGCCGAGCTGGGGGATATCCTGGGCCAGCCCCGGGGTCTTTTGTCACCAGGGACGCATCCAGTTGCACTCAGGGCAGCAGCTAAGCCCATGACCACAAAGGCTGGGGCGCCCCGCCTGCAGGCCTTCATCTCTGTCTCTGTCTCCACCTCCATCTCCATCTCTGTCTCCATCTTCCTCCTCCATCTCTTCATTCCTCTGCCACCCCATCACCAGTAGGTCTCATGCCACCCTCCTATGGTACGGGGACCAGTGCCTCCTATGGTACGGGGACCAGTACCCTCTTCTGTCACCTCTCAGGTTCAGAGATGGCTGTCTCTCACTCTCTCATCTCTTTGAGTCTGGCATCAGCCTCACCTCAGAGGAACTGACTCTGTCCCCCTCCCAGTGAGCTGCAAAGGACAGGGAGAGCTGGACAAGCATTGTGGAGTGGCTGAACATGAAGGAATGAGTTGTGTGTCTGCTCATGACCTGCCAGGCTCCCAGGAGCTCTGGCTGGCCAAGTCCCCTGTGGGCAGAAGCTCAGCACAGCACCACACTCCACCTGCAGAAACTCCCTGCGGTGTAGGGAGCATGAGGTGGCAGTTGGGGTGGTCATTGGGTGTTGTATTGTTAACGGTGTTGTGGGTGTTGGGAGTCTGTGGTTGGTGCCCACGATACCGTTACCAAACCATGTTGTGGCATTGGTGGCAGTACTGCTTGTAGCATTGGTGCTGGTAGCAGTGTTGTTGGCATTGGTATTGGTGTCAGTAGTGGTGCTGGTGGTGGTACTGGTCAGTTTATTGTCATTAATGGTTGTGTTGGTGTTAGTGTTGATGGTGGTGGCAGCGATATTGCTGGCAGTGGTCAGCTCCTATGGAGCAACAGTTTAGTAGTGTTGTGGTGGTGTCGTGGTAGTGGTTTTGGTGGAGGCATCGTTGTGGTATTTGTGCTTGCTTTGGTGTTGGTGATGGCGTTGGTGGTTGCATTGGTTTTGGTGTTGTTAGTAGTTGCATTGGTATTGGTGGTTGCATTGGTGTCAAAGGTTGCATTGGTGTTGGTGATGTTGGTTGCACTGGTGTTGACATCGGTGTGGTGGTGTTGGTGGGAATGTTGGTATTGTTGACAGTGGTCCACGCTGGATGGTAGCAGTTAATTGGTATTGGCTATGGTGATAGTGGCATTGATGTTCGGACTGCAGTGATGTTTTGGGGGGGCAAGTACAGCCAAAGAACATCACCTGTGGAGTGAGGTGCACCCTGACTGGGCTATTGTGACGAATGATACAAACCGGCAACTTGAAGACAACAGAAATGCCTTCCAGAGTGCCCAGGTCGGCAGCTGGGGCTCAGGACGACTTGTGGGGAAGTTGCTTCAGCCTCAGTTCCCAGGGCTCCAGGTGATCATGGTTCCTGCTCTGACCCACATTCCCCCCATTCAACCTCCTCAGGGACCCCACTGGGCTCAGGCCCTCCCCGGGGGCCCGTCACTCACTCCAGCTGTGGCATGTGCAGCTACTGAGGCAGGACAAGAGTAGACGTGCAGGGCCCCACAAGTCCAGGTGGAGTGGTCCCTGTGGACCGGTGAGGTGTCACCTCCAGGGCTCCTGAACTGCATTTCGGGATGGCCACGGCCACCTGCTCCTGCGGCAGGATGGGTCTGTTTGTCCTAGGGGACCCTCAGGACAGGAACTCTTGGAGGAATGTGAGTAAGGGGCTGACCTGGGTCAAGGAAGCCCAGCACCCCGGCCCCTGCGTCCCCTCAGAGATTGAGGCAGGAGGGATGCAGGGGCCTGGGTGCTGGGGTCAGCATCCTTTTCCCAGAGTCTATCAGATGTGACGTTAGGGGCTGACACTGGGTGTTACCTCCCTGAATCGTCACCTGGGCCATCACCTTCTTCACAGCTCAAGGATCTGGGATGCTCTCCTCCTCCTGGGCTTCTGCCC